TTTTGCAATTTTATAGACACCGAAGGCATACAATTCAATGAAACCGTTTTGGGTTCCGATGGCCAACACATTCAGCGTCTTCTGGTTCTCCACTTTCATCATATCATTCACGTTATCGTCGTGTGTCTTGCGGTTGCCTCTCATGAAGCCTTTGGACACAGAGTTTGCTTTTGGCAGAAGACTAATAAATGGCGAAATCGCGGAACAGTTGTCCGACAAATCGAAATACTTGTGGTTATAATTGGAGTGAAAGTCGCCGAAAGAGTTGGCATCCGAGCCCTCCTTCTGCTGCCAATCAATGGCATTGATTTTGCCGTCGATGACGATCTTATGGATCATTTGGGAGGTCTCGACGTCGTGTAACACCAGACAAGACGTGGTGTCGTCCGCATCGCTGGAGTCGATGTCCGACTCGTAAGCGACGGCCAATATCTTGCCGTCTGGTCTCCAATCCATGTCTTTGACGAAACACTTGTCGTCGCTCTTGTTGTCGTTGGATGTGGTCTTGAGCTTAGGTTTCGGCAAATGCCACACCTTTTGCCACGAAACCAATCGGTGGACAACGATATCACCGCTTCTTAGGGCCACAACTATTAAATCCATTTTTGGGTTCCATTTCATTGAATCGATTTCACCGGAGATGTGGCCCGCGATGTCATCCAAACACCGGAACGACAGCATTGTCTCGATATATGTCTTCTATGTCTTCAACATTTGACCGAAAATGCAAAATTCAAATCAAACCCCAAAACAATGTGTTGTTTATTGAAAACGTCTCTCCAATTGACAGCTTTTATTCCCCGTCCCCTCAACCCGTGTGTTAACACTTGCAATACCCTCACAATTGTCCCCAACATTCCCCTCCAACCCCTCAATTACTGCATACGATATGTAGAAATACTGAGCAAACCATTGAACGTAATGTATGAACGACTCACTGATGAGACAAATGCTGAATCACTTTCCGATTGTTTTTCAGTGAATAAAGTGTTTGAAAATTGTTTCACTCTTTGGGTCTTTAATTGTCCGCTAATTATCTGTTGACTTGTGTTGAGTGACACATCCCTGAAGACAAGATGTCGAGAGGAAGTTCTGCCGGATTTGATCGACACATCACTATATTCTCACCCGAAGGACGTC